GGCTCTGTGCATAAAAGCCTGTTGGACAAATGAACGCAAAAACGTATTTGCAAAGCTCTTAGCTTTTCCCTGGAATAATTCCCACCACTTTAAGGCAGGGGTGGGCCATGGGGTCAGTATACTGACAGATGAGGACACGCAGGAGGTAGATAGTAATCTGAGGAAGTTAGTGAGTCTGCGATCAAGAATGCTTTAGTCACTGTTCTGTGCAATAGATCACGAAAGCGTGCTCCTCCTAACTGAAATGCTGTATACTTCGATCATCATCTCCACTTTCCCAACCACTCTCTTCCCCCAGCCTCTGGCAACCATCCTCTAATCTCTATGTTTATGAATTAAACTTCTTTAGATTCCACATATAAGCAAGATCATGGCATATTTATCTTTCTGTGCCAGACCTGGATTTACTTCACTTAATATCCTTCACATTACTGATAATGACAGGATTTTCCCCTTTTCAAGACTATATAATATTCTATTGTGTATACATATGACATTCTCTTTACCCATTCATCTGATGATGGACACTTAGGTTGCTTCCATATCTCAGACATTTTAAGAACTGCTTCAATGAACGTGGGATGGCAGGTATTTCTTCAGCATACTGATTTCAATTCCTGTGTATATATACCAAGTAGCGGAATTGCTGGATCATATGGTAATTCTATTTTTAGTTCATTGAAGGTCCTCCATGCTGTTTTACACATAGCTGCATTAATTTATATTCGCACTAACAAGTGCACAAGGGTTCCCTTTTCTCTGCACTCTCACCAATACTTGTTACCTTTCATTGTTTTTATACAGCCATTCTAACAGATGTGAGGTGATAAACATAGAATGGAGATATCATAAATAACAATGCATTGTGTACTTCAAAATTGCTAGAATGGATTTTAAATGTTTTTTACACCAAGAAAACTGGTAATCATATGAGGTGGAATTTGTTAATTAGCCTGATTTAATCATTCCAACTGTAAACATGCATCAAAATATCACACTGCATACCACATATATACATATATATGTGACACGCACACAGCTGGGTAAGGAGGTACATGTCCGTAATCTCAGTTACCCAGGAGGCTGAAGTGAGAGTAATGCTTGAGGCGATCAATCAGGAGCTTGAGGCTACAGGCTACAGTGCACTATGATCACTCCTGTGAATAGCCACTGTGCTCTAACCTGGGCAACACAGCAAGAACCTGTCTCTAAATTTTTTTTAAAAAAAGAACACTTAAAAAATATGTATTATTTGTCAAAGAACTAAATTAAACAAACAAAAAGCAGAATGCTTTAGTCACTGCCAGTGGAGCTCCTGCTAGAGAGAAGCAGACAGATTGAGAAAGTGTGCAACCATCACCTCAGTTCTGGCAGCTTGCCAGGTAGCATATGCTTACCTCTGATCTTACTTAAAAATCCTATGAGATATGTCACAACAAAAGTGTCTCTGTCATAGCAGACTCTACACAATAAAGATGTTTTTCTAACCAAAGGACCACAGTTAGAAGAGCTCCACAAAATTAGTACCAGGAAAGACTTTAGTTAACAATGGCCCCAGGGGCTGAGACCCAGAAAGGCTAAGTGATTTACTTAAGGTCATACAGCTGGCAGTAGTGTCTAGCCCAGAATCAAGAGCCAACTAGAAAATCCTACGGTGAAATTGCCTATCATTGTGCCTCTTAACAGGATTTCTAAAAGACAAGGTTCCCTGTTCCTCAGAACTATAACTTCATCAATATGCCTTTTCCTAAAATCAGAATATTTACAACTGAGTATACATTTTTTAATGAATTTACTCATTGAGACAATACCTATACATCAGATATGATAAAGAATTTCCATCTCCGATACATTTTACTACAGATGTAAAATTTAAGTAATTTTACCCATGTTTACAATATGCTGCTTGAAATTTAATCATAAGTATATAAAAACGTAATTTTACGTACCCTCATAATCATACATAAATGAGGGTACATAAAAAGTACCTTTGCAGAAATATATAATTTATATTAAAACTTCATGTATTCTGTTACAAAGACTGATTTATTTCAAAGAATGAAGAAACTGAATTACCACTGCACCTGGTAACAAAGATCTGTGCCTATAAGATCTTTTCTTTTCTTTAACATCTGTAAGAACTACATGAGAAAAACATATACACTAACCAAGGTTGAAAGAAAAAACAACTTGCAGTATATGCAGCTACAAAACAGTGCTCTCCATGGTGAAAAATAAAGTCATAAGTATCCTAGCAAAAATTTTACTACACACACACACACACACACGCCTAACAGATGGATTCTAAAAATCAGCTAAGCATTCCACAATCCAAATGCTCAAAAATTAATAATAAAGGTTAATTAACATTCTGGCACATGTGATATTGTATAAATGAGAACAACAGCAGTAATTTTGGGCAGAAGACCCCTCTCTGCTCTCGCCCTTCATCTCATTCAACCTCTTTTTCTCAATTGTGAGCACACCCTTCTGCTTCTCCTACTCTGCAATCAAATCACAACCACCCAAAAACCGAGGTGTCTGCTGCAGCCCAAAACATTTGACTGATAATATCCGGTTTGCCATTCCAGGAAATCCCAGAGTGGTTTTTAAGCCTCTGCCCACAGCTTGTAAAGAAAGGCGAGAGAGGAACTAATCGATACCAGCACCCCAGCTGTGACCTGGCACATGAAGAAATCAAGAAAATAAATCCCATCCATAATCTGTATAATTTAACACTTGGAAGAAAGCAACATCTGGGATCGACTCCAAGCGGGACAGTTTTGCCTGGATGGATCTGAGCTTCCTGCACTGGGTGTTAATGCCGCTTAGGAGGCGATGTTCTCTGGTCCCTCACCAGTCCAGCAAAGGGAATATCTTTTTCCTAGCAAGGGTTAATCTACCTCCCAAAAAAGAGGAGAGTGAGGAGAAGGAAATTAACAACCACTAACATCTACTCCTTGCCAATGGAGAGGCTGGCAAAGACTTCCCTGACACTTTAAAGGAGGGAAAGCTGGAAACCTTTTCCAAAGGTGGGTTCAGGTCAAACTATTGTCTTGCTAACCAGTTACAATCCAGAATGGAAGCTAACGTAAAATGTGAGAATGACTTTATTGAATCCTGCAGTCCTTTCAGTGGACCCCAAAGTCCTATCCCTAGGCAAAGTTGAGAAAAAAGAACAAAATCCCCTCTATAACTCCCTGGGAAGACTTTCCAGATTTTTTAAATTGCAAGAAAATGAATTTAGAACATAAGCAGATATCCACACATCATCTAAATCACTAGATCTGTCCTCAATTGAAAAAAAAAAAAAAAAAAAAAAAAAAAACCCACACACACACAAAGTACACCAGTAGGCAGAACAGGGCATTATAGGAAATAAAGAGTGTTAGTAAAATCCATAAAGCTTTCTCTCTGTTAGACCTTCTGGGAGGTTATAATTGCATTTGGCCGGCTGCAGGCTTGTCGGAGAGCCTGGCTTCTTAATAGTCTCAACCCTAAAAGGAGTAACTGTCAAGGGGCAACCCAGCTGAAATCAAACAACAAAAACGGGAACTGTAACCCAGCTGAAATGGGAGGAGGGAAAGGAAGGGAGACTCCAGTATTCATCAGTCAACATTAATGTCCTTTGTTGTTCACCTTTGCACAGAACAGCGAGCGCTATCCTGTTCCTTTTTCTCCGAACGCCAGTGTCAGGGCTCGCTTTCCTAAAAGCTATCTCCCTGCCCCCAAGAACCAGGCTTTCCGATCCTCCTCCACATTATCACTCCGCAGCCCAGTGCCGCCACACCGCCCTGTGCCGCTCACCCGGGGTCGAGAGGGTGGCCAGAAGTACAAACACGCTGAAATACCCGTTCTTCTCCAAAGACCAAAGAACCGAGCGGCGCAGATGTTGAAATTTACCAATGCCCCCGCCCCCCAACATACGCACCCCATAAACCCGGGATCACAGGGAAGGAGGAGGGTCAGAGCGGGCTCAGCCTGTCAGAGCGGCTGTCTCCAGGACCCTGCCACATTCCACACTCCGGGAATGTAGATCGGAGCCAGCGGGAAGGGTCTGCACCTCCCTACTGTTTTGGGGGTGTTCTCTCTGCCCAAGTGTTGTCTCCCTCTCCACCCAGGGGAATCGTGGCAGCTCCCTGTCACTTTGGGGAAGACGGGTAAGGATGGAGAGAAACCCCATTCGTCTCCTCTTCCAACTTGACACACGCACACAAACACACACTCCCCGTAGCGACTCCAAACTCCGCAGGCAGAGCCCGAAGCAAGCGGGTCGGCCGCGCGCTCCCCCAAGCCGTCCCGGCCCTCCGCAGGGGTGTGCAGGGGCTGGCTCGGCAAAGCCGAGGCTGGTGCGCAGGAGCTGTCTAGGCAAAGCCCGGTACCCGCTGCGCGATGCCAGGATTAGGCATTTTCAGCCAGGCGGAGCGAGAGGGGCGCGGGGGCAAGGACGAGAAATGCGCACCCGCTCGGGCCAGAGCGGAATAAAAGTTCGCCCGGCGGAGACTCACCCACACCGTATTTCTCGTGCTCCGTAGGTATCCACATGGCTAAAGGGGGCTCCGGGGTCCTCAGGCTTTGTAATCCCCGCGCCCCTTCTCCGGCTCACAACAATGCACAGTCCCCGAGCCGCGCTGCAGCGCCGGAGCCCGGCTGCTTCGCGCGGGCTGAGGGCGCTGGGCAGGATCTGCGCTGGAGGCTCCCGAGCCCAGCGTTGACACTGCGCCGCCCGCAGCTCTCCCGGCGGCGGCTGCTCACAGTCCTCCGACGCGCTCCCGGGGACCCCGCGGCGCAGTCATTGTTCTGATTCACTGAACTAAGCGAACACGCCGGGGCACTCTCGGGAGCACCCCCGCCCGCCGGCGCCTAGTCCAGCCCTCCCGTCCTAGGGCCCCGCGGCACGCTGGGAACTGTAGTTCTCGGCCTTCCCATCCCGGAAGTGGGTGCGGCAATTGCGGTTCGGGGCGGGGATTCAGTTTTGCTCGCTACGTCCTATTGGTCAAGAGCGCGACGTAGGTGTGGCGAAAATATCGCGTCGACAAGGAGTTTGCCTCTAGTCGCGTTTCTATTGGGGGCACCCCGCCTCCGCCCCGCCCTGTGGCCCTCCTTTTTCTTCTCTGCGGGGTAATGGCTGCTCCCGAGACCCATGGGGCTGTCGTCCGACTGAAGGAAGACAGTGATGGGAGCTGCAGCACAGTCGGGGGTGTAGGTTATGGGGGTGAGTACGGTGTCCCTGAGGCGCGGCTGATGTGGCTTCTTTCTCTGTGACCGGGAGTGCAGTGGACCTCTGGTCTGATCCTAGGATCCCTTCAGCCCTGGGCCACCTGGATTCAACGGGGCTCCACGGGTGGTGGCCCAGCGGGATGGGGTGGAGCTGGGGGCGGCCACTTGGTTGGGGCTGCCCGGGAAGGGCGGAGAAAATGCCGTGGAATGGCCTTCCCCTCGGCCAGGGAAGCTCCCCGAACGTTTGTCTTCTGGTTTGGAGCTCCCAGCTTTGCGCTAGCTGCTGAGTGGGTTTGGCTCAGGTCTGGTTCGCGCGCATGTGTTTATAACTTTGGGATCAGCAGCTGTTTCTCCTCACCAGTTCACTGCCTCGGTTTGCTTGGTTTGACCTCGCAGATGTGTTTTATGTGGCTTCCGGAGAATTTCCAGTCGCAGACTGGTGGTCACTGCTCTCCACTCTACAGATTTGCCCAGTTTGTGGCTGAAGTGTCTTCTGGAAGGGAAAGTGTGTGCATCTCACAACTTCCTCGTAGATGGTTAACTAACCTGGCTGTTCTCCAGAATTGGACGTGGAGCCTGGGAGATATTCCCAGTCTCTGGGTCCTTAGAGAAAGAAAGAGGAAAGTGTTAGATAACTTGCACTCGTGGCTTCAGAGAACATTTGAAAAGGGTTATGAAAATCATCACAACTTTGTACCTGACTTTCAAGTTGTCCTCTGATCTACTGTAGGAATAAAAAAACAAATTTTGAAAGCTGCAGGTGGATTGTGTTTAGGACTCTTTTACCTTTAGTCTATCTCTCCCCCGTTCCCTCACCCCATTTTTACCTTGGTGTGTAATTGAGCACAAGTTGTCTTTTTCTGATGAACATGGTTTGGGGCTTAAATATGGTTCTCAGACTTTGTTGAGGTTTTAATTTGATGCTTTTTGGTTTCTTTGTTTTTGCTTTCACAGTTAAATTGATATTTAGTCTTAAATAGTTACCTCAGCAGAACAGATATGAAGTGCAGTTTCTTTCCACTTCCCAACGGTGGAATCCTACCCTGAAATTATTTTACTACCTGCGAAACAAATCTTTGATAGTCCCCTGAGTTAAATATTGAGTTTAACACCCTAACGGTTTATTATTGGGCTGGTCATATATTGGGCTATCTGATGATAACAGACTATTAAAGTTTCCTAGATTCTCAAAGTTCCAGAGAGCTACCAGTTTAAGATCTAAAGCTATACCTTTGTTGAATAATTTTTCTTACAGTCTAACTTATTTTACAAAATGGTTATGTCTTTCAAAAATGTAAAATATTTAGAAATATTTATTTTTAGATTTTAAAAGTATTTATTGTAAGTATTTGAAACCATTCAGAATTGTATGAAGTAAAAAGATGAAAATTCCTTCACCTCACAGTACCACTCCGGGAGTATTAAGTGGCAAGAATTTGGTGCATATTCTTTCCAACATATTCTTTCTTTTATCCTACAATCCATATTCTGTTAAACCAATATTTTCTTATACGACACACAACTGTATGGTTTAATAAAAAGGGATAAGTCTATGTAAACTAAAAGATCTGCAACCTTCTTTTTTCTTTCAGCAGTCTATCATAGAAACCCTTCCATGTCAGTACATTTGTTTTCTTTTTTTATTTTTAAGACTGTGCCCATCATATTCCCAAATATCAATGTGCCATGTTTTAGCCATTCCCTTATAAATGAACATATAGTGTGACTTTAGTTTTTCAATAATGTTTCAGTGAACAGCTTTATGTACATATATTCTTGCGTACTAGGTGTGTAATTTGGGGGGAAATTGCTGGATCAAAGATTATGCAAATTTAAAATTTTGATAGATGTCAGATTTTCCTCTTAAAAGATATTCATCATACATTGCCACCTGTAGTATATGAGTGTTCTTTCCCCCATGTTGTCACCAACTTTGAGGAAATAATCCAGGACCAATGTTTAAATGACTAGTGGATTGAATTAAGTGATTGATAGAAAGCTTAATTTTTGGTTCCAGTTTGTTTTCAACAAAAGTGTTGAGTAATAGTGAATCTGCAGCATCTATACATGAAAAAATTTCTCACCCTGGCTCAGAACTACCCAGTATTCTCATTGACTTGTAGCAGTCAATAGGAGAAATTAATGGTTGATATTTTTATGTCACTGTTATAAGATAAAGTTGTCATTAAAAATTCTGCTCAATAACCTATCTATCATTCTGTTACTTTTAACAAAATCTTTTCAAAGCCAACAAAGTGTGATATAAATTTTAGGTGTAAATATTTATATTAAAAGTATATTCATATTTTTTGTTGAACAGTCACTTAGGTTATCAAGTATGTCTTTCCCTATAAAAATCGTACACCTTTTTGATTTCTTGAAAACTGCTTCTTTTAAGAGATTTTCCTAAAGCTCTAATTAAAATGCCAGTCTGTGTGTTTAATACCCTGGGACAGCAAGGCCTAGGAAGGCTTTTTATAGAAATCCTTGCAATTCCTCAAAATCTCTGCTAGAGTGAGTTAGTGGGTGGGGTGCAGGCAGGTGCAACCCCTTCACTGAGACCACTGTGTTGCCAAACTTCTGTGGCTCCATCCTTCTCCAAGAAGGTCCCCAAATTGACTAGGTCAAGTTTTTTTTTTTTTTTTTTTTTTTTTTTGTTGTTTTTTTTTTGTTTTTCAGAAGGAGTCTCACTCTGATGCCCAAGCTGGAATGCAGTAGCGCCATCTCAGCTCACTGCAACCTCTGCCTCCTGGGTTCAAGCGATTCTCCTGCCTCGGCCTCCCAAGTAGCTAGGATTACAGGTGCCTGCTGCCACTCCCAGATACTTTTTGTATTTTTAGTAGCGATGGGGTTTCACCATGTTTGCCAGGCCAGTCTCAAATCCCTGACCTCAGGTGATCCGCCCGCCTCAGCCTCTCAAAGTGCTGGGATTACAGGCGTGAGCCACCACGCCTGGCAGACTAGCTCAAGTCTTAAAGGACACTGCTTTACATACATTTGAATAGTAATTAGGGTTTCAATCTGTCTCCTAAAATTAAGAACAGATAATAAATAGATTCAGCATCCCTCACACGGTGATACTGGCATTTGTTCTTTTGCTGCTTTTAGTTAAAAGTCAGCAAGAGGCCGGGCGCGGTGGCTCAAGCCTGTAATCCCAGCACTTTGGGAGGCCGAGGTGGGTGGATCACGAGGTCAAGAGATCGAGACCATCCTGGTCAACATGGTGAAACCCCGTCTCTACTAAAACTACAAAAAATTAGCTGGGCATGGTGGTGCATGCCTGTAATCCCAGCTACTCAGGAGGCTGAGGGAGGAGAATTGCCTGAACCCAGGAGGCAGAGGTTGCGGTGAGCCGAGATTGTGCCATTGCACTCCAGCCTGGGTAACATGAGTGAAACTCCGTCTCAAAAAAAAAAAAGTCAGCAAGATAGCACAGTTTAATAATAATAATACATTTAGGGGGCTTTTGTGACTGAGGTGACTTTTTCTGACAGTATTAATCTGTATCTCCATATTGTAATATTCTGTCAAAGTTAAATTTTTCCCTCCTAATGCGTGTTTAGCAGTTGACGATTTTGGTAATGCTTGGATTCTGGAGACCTTATTATCTGATGATTTTGGTAATGTTCCAGATGTCTCTGGAAGAAAAGGGGAAGGGTAGAGGTGATGTAAACTCCTCATTCTTGTATTTCCTATTTCAATAAATGGGCATCAAGTCTAAGCTAGAAACCAAGGAAGCATCCTTGATTCCTAACTGGCCCTCAGGTACTGAATTTGATCAGTTAGCAAGCCTTATTTTTCTGTGCCTGAAGTGTCTTTTGAATCTGTTCCCTCTATTCATTGCTATAGCCACTATTCGAATTCCATCACTAATCCTCACCATTACTGCTGAATTACTGATCTGCATCTCCCATATCCCAGAAAGTGCTCTTGAGAACCAGTCGTATGTGTTTTTGTCAGCCTGATTCTGTTCTTGGCACATTTTAATGTTTAACAAATGTTTGACCAGAATGGAATTCTAGCCTGGACAGTTGCAAAATCTTCCTGTTGATCTCGCTGACTTTTGACTTTGCTTCCTTTAATCCACATTCTAAAACAAATATATTCGTGGATCTCCACTTGAAATTTTCAGTGTAACTCTGGTACATGTAAAAAAATGAGGTCCAAATTCTCTGTGTGGCATTTAAGATTCTAATCTACATGTCTAGCCTCATCTTCAGTCACTCTGTTTCCCTTCCCATATCTCTATTATCCACTTACCATGTCACACTATGGTTATTTTTTGGCAACTTTATCTATACCAGTGGACAGTGAACTTCTTGAGGTTAAGAGTTGTCTAATTTCACTTTTATACATCCAGTGTTTATCAAAGCTGCACAGAGTAAACATTGTATAACAGTCTAATGTTAGAATATGCTTGAAATTTATTCAAGGCATTTAGAATGGCAACTATTTTAAGCAGAGGAACTGAAATAGAATAAAAAACTGAATAGAGTTTTATGCTTGTGAAAGGTGTGCATACCAACTAAAATGTAAAATATCTGGAAGATGATATTCTGTCAAGGTGATCATAGTTAGCATTTAAGGATAGTTTTTCAGTTTTTTAAATTGAAGTTTTAATGTTGTTTAATGATTATATTTTTTAAAAGAATACTTTAGATCTGGCCTTTATAGCTTTAAGCCTATAACTGAATGACTTACCACATGGGCCTTGAAATCTGTCTTTGTATCATCTATATGGCTGTTTCCAATTTTCCACAGGCTGTCATCCTATTTCTATAGACCATTATTAAGCCCAGTCTCATATATTTGACATGACAGTGGAAAGAGGACTGGATCTTATTTTGGCAAAACTGTATTTAAATTCCAATTCTGACATTTAATAGCTGTGTAAGATAGGTTTATTATATGTGCTGCCACATTTATGAAAATATCCATATAATACCTATCTTGCAGAGTTATTGTGATATTTCATTGTTATATATTTTTGAAAGC